TATCATAACATGCTCTTTTAGCCACACAAAGTTGTACGGGAGTTCACGTATCATAACATGCTCTTTTAGCCACACAAAGTTGTACGGGAGTTCACGTATCATAACATGCTCTTTTAGCCACACAAAGTTGTACGGGAGTTCACACATATGTGAGGCAGCGTGGTGAAACAATGCGCCCGTCAAAATAACGAAATCAGAGAAACGGGTCTTTTTCTGCCAGTTTGGAAATTTGTATCAAATTTTTATTTTTTGGCTTACATTGATTAAAGGCACAAAATATGTCATTTTTCAGTTTTCAAAGACTCTTTTGTCTATTGGAGTTACCAAACTTTGGTGGCCATTTTCTCGCTATTTTCATCACTAAAACCAGGCGACCACACTTTTTTCAATCGTAAACATCTTGAATTCTATTAAAGATAAATAGATATTTATTTCATTGGAAGCAAGGCGAATAAATCAGCTTTCAGAGGATAGCAATAACTCCACATGCCCAAATATAGACGAGCGCCTGATTCCACTGTGTCATAACACATATCATAACATGCTCTTTTTAATATTTAGAATTTGAAATTTGACCAAATATTTCTCGATCACATGCGACCAATATCACAGATTTAAAAACTGCAATAAAAAAACAAGGTTCAAATTTTCTGACTTATTAAATCTGGACAGCAGAGGGTTTTTTTCGTAAGAGTTTTACAGCACTTGCAACACAATAAAGTCATATACAAGTGCCGAAGATTAGAGGTGTTACAAGAGAGTAACAAACGCAAAAAAGAAGGGGAGATAAAGATGATAGATGTTTGATAGGGAAGAAGGAGGAAACCACACCAGAGCACCCGCCAACCACCCACGTATATATAAAAACACCTACATTTAACCCTATCCGTATGTCGTGTTTTACTATCGTCTTAACCCTATCCGTACGCCCTGGGGTCATTTTGTACGCCCCGGGGTTGTATTCTTCACATTTTAGAATACTTCTAATACGAAGATCTCTTTGAAACTTTCAGCATTTCTCAAAAAATCATTTCGACAGACTGCTATTCAAAGCATACAGATCGGATTAACGAGCAAATTTCCTCTTTGGAAAGTGGTGGCACAGAGTTCCCCACGACGTATAGATACGATAGTAAAACACGACGCATGGATATGGTTAAAAAAGATTTTTAAAAAGAAGAAAGACAAAAGAAACTAGAAAAAAGACAGAGGAAAATAGAAAGAACAAAAACGAAAAAAGAAAGAAGGAAAAAGAAAAACGAAAGAAAAAAAAGAAAAAAAGGAAAAGAAAGCAGAAGAAGTGTGTGGGACTGACTTGTAGACGTCGTTCTCGATGGGCAGCAGGTCGTAAGCCATGGCCTGGAAGGTCAGCTCATGAAGCAGAGGGGAGATGGGGTCGAAGCCACGGTCCAGGATCAGCAGCATGGACCGGTCCTTCTGGGGGCCCTGGGGACACACGCACATGGGGGACAATGTCTTTGTGGTTATAGTGAGGTTTTACGGCACTCGCGACACTATAAGGTCATATATGTGCCGAAGATTAGAGGTGTTACAAGAGAGTAAAAAGTTGCTCCAGAGAGAGAGAGAGA